TAGGTTTGTGAATGCATGCGTGCTCCCCCACTGGTTGTATTGCTCTCCAGTAATTTTTCCCGGTATGTTGAAGAAAGACTTATTTACTGGCGAGATCTCTGAAACACATCTCTAAATGTAGTGGCATTGTCAGAGTATAACTGGCCGATTCCATCATTGACAGACACCTACAAGCATGTGAAAATTTCGCCGCCAAAACACTCTCAGACACTCACCACCCATTACACAATGAATTTTCAAAAGCTGTATCTACATCATACACACGCTCCAGATTTAAACTTTTATTTGCACGTACCTGTGCTTTTCGTAATTCTGTTCTGCCATATCTAGCACGTCTACTTATAGACAAGGACACAATTTCCACAGAATTGCGCAACCGCTTGCTGCATTGACAAACACCGCATTGCTTTCAGTTTCATTATGTAATGATTTTGTAAATTTGAATCCACAAATATGGTGTAATTGCTGAAAATACACCCATCCGGGTGCATAAAGCTACTACTGACTTGACTTGACTTGAACGTTAGGTTGATATGAATGCTACAAAAGCGTCCTGTATTTGACTCCGAGATAGTGAACGGGATTTGGACTCGTTCGACTTGTCTACACGTTTCTGAATTGTGAGAGGCCATGATATGATCCATTACCGGATTACGACAATTACGTGAGTTTTATTGGCCTATTTGTTCATAGTTTGTAATACAAAACTAAACGTTTCCAAAACCCCTACAGAGCACAATTGAGGATTGCTTGTCATCAACTAGCTGAGTTACGAGGATTAACAAATCCATCTATACGTCTCATATGAAGGTACTTAACAATATGAAGTATGAATAATTTTGACGTGATTTATTTCAAATTATTTGGTTATGAAAGACCATTTACGTCTGAATAATAGCAGGAGTTGATTCCGGGGAAAACGCTACTTGGAAGCAGGATCGATTTTGTTCTGTTATAAATATATTTTTTTTTCTGCAACTCACCTGTGGGCCAAACAGTGGTGATAAATTTATGCAAGTAAACCATTGGGGATAAAAACATGCTTCTTCTGAGATAATCCACCAATTTGCTGATGTCGGATTTGCTATTTTGTGTGCGGCCTAAGGAAGGTTGCCCTCAAGACATCCTTAACTGGATGCCTAGTAAATGTCATGGAAAACGAAGGTAGCCCAGCCACTGTACCCCAATGGAGATTTTGAAACCGACGGACCATAACGTAATCTCCTCACTTGTCAACACCGATTCCATTGTTGCTTTCGGTTGCTCCATTCCAAATTTGGTGGGCTGCTTTACACGATCGCATACTGGATCCGAATCGATAAACTGTATGGACAGTGACTCGAATGGCTGCATCTAATCGGATTGGACGAATGAACGTCGACCGGTGACAAAGCTTGTCCCGTGGTCTGTAATGCAGTCTCGTTAGCTGAGTCTCTGGCGCGTGATAGACTATACCAATCGAACATGTGACATTTTTCGACGGTCCTAATAATCATCGTAATGTGTGAGAGGCTGCATCACGGATTCAAATTGATCACCAATGCAAAAACATAGCAAAACAACACTAACTCATGCGGATCAACCACATCCCAGAAGAGGCAGTCCGCAACAGATACAATTCATACTCGATCGCCTATCACATTTCAATAATGACAGCAATTTCTCATTGGTCGGTGTGTACAAGCGGCCGCATTGTGAGAAACGGCGTGCAGCATTGGTCTGGGCATCCGCATCCCTATGAAAAAACCGTTTTAATGTAAAGCTTTGTCATTTATTTTACTGTTTATGCTTAAATAACCTCAGACGAAACATTTTAATTCCATCTACCACGCTGACCAGAAACCGGATCAGGTAGTGTTTGAAATGTAACGTGTTTCAAAAAGCGCATAAGGCGAAAAAGACGCCAAAATGTTTTATTTTCTCTCCCGCCCCCACTCTCTCTACTTTGTACTTGCTGTTAAATTTTGTGATTATGGAGTAAATATTTCATAATACAAACCTCCCTTCGAGACACAAAAGTAGCAGGCACTACAGACGAGTCCCGACAGGAATGGAACAGTTTTCTGTGTTTTGTGCTGGTCACAGCAATTAAAACCTTCAATTTCGGTCCATATGAAACTCAGTGTATCAAAATAAGCCCAATGGGCGTTGGTATAAACCGATACAAAAAAAATACAAATCCAATCCACCGTATGTCGTTGGATTGGAGGATCGAAGCCAAAGTAAGTGTTGCCGCTGAAATAAACTTCAGTTTTGCGATGGAACGTATGGTAATTTACTTCTTAATATGGTTTACATCAGATGGAGTTTATGGTCAGCGATTTGATTCCCCTCTCTCCATCAGTGGTTACCATTGGAAACTTACCGCCCCCCCCTTCTCTCTCGCTCAGGTTCGTAAACTCATTACCAATTTTCGTCCATGGTAAAACTAAGGATACTATGAGAGTTATTACACAAAATATGTTGGTTGTATTGTTCTCTCTACCTGGTGCCTTGTGTCCAATAGAGAATCATTCCCTCGCAAGCCAGCGGCCTCCGGTGAGTTAGGCAAACTGTCCGCACCGTCTGGATGACCTCGTATAATCACCTCTTCCAGTTGCATCCACTCGCTCAGAGTGGTCTGATAGTGTTGCTTTAACTGATCCGAATGTTGCTTTTTCTGTCCCTCGGTCATGGACCAATCGAATACTTGAAGTAGATAAGGCCAAACCTGATTAAAAGGGAACAGGCAAGGATGAATAGATGATGCCATGCATCGTGTACGAGATCAGTGATTACTGCACATTCAGATAGTTATGATAACATTAACTTCTGTGGTGGTGGATTGGGGAAGATGCAGTAACGTTAGGCATTTTCGTTCTTTTTATGTATATAGAATATCGAATCCAATATCTATCTTGTCATCGCTCCCGCTATTCTCATCAACGTGTCGGGATATGAATTGGAAACCCTAAAATATACTATCAAAAGGTTTCCGTATAATACGGCCATTTTTTTCCCTTAGAATAGGCGGGAAAAACTGCTGCATGGGAAACAATGTATCCCTCACCAAAAGCACGTAAGCCTTACCCGAATGTGACCAACGGCAACTGACGCGAATGTCACATGTGAGGCACACGTTTGACCAGGCTAAACATGAATCGATTAAAAGGGCATCACCCTGACTACAGAGAGACCGAGCCAATGGGAATTGAAATCACGCGTGTGATCTGATTGGATCTTCCCGAGGGAGTGGGAAACAAACCAATGCCTTTCGGAAGAGAATATAAGGTCATGTCGGATAAAAGTGAGCATGTATTCATAGGCAGCAATAAAAAAGTCAATGACTATAACACAGAAAAATCAGAGATTAGGTTTAAATGAGGCTGTAAACACCGCTTTTCTGTCACAAACCTAAGTTTTTGACTTATCTGGTTAAATACTGTTAACGAAGGCATAAACCTGGTAGAGTATGATGGAAAGTGTGCGGAATCACAGTGAAAAGAAAGTAATACAATTAGAAGAAATCTGCAGATCAACAGGAAATTATCAAAATTGCATTTGCTTGATAAGCCTGAAGAAACCTGAAAACAAAAACCATTTATTATCTGTTTGATTTGCCCAAGTTGCTAGGCTTAAGATTCTTTTTTCTTCCTTTTATTGAATAGACAGTGATAAAATTTTCACCAAAGGGGAAGCGGCTATTCAAAGGGCTGCCATACAACACACCAATCAGGAAAGTCAGGCGGTGGTGGTGGGATTCGAACACTCATCTTCCGGGGTGATAACTTTGCGACGTTACCACCGGGCCACCACCACCCATTCATTCACCGTGATTGGTCATTTCAGCATTCGACCTGAATAAAGCATCAACCGGGAAAGAGTGGAGAGCAGTAGACTCAACTAGATGATTTTCCCTCAAAAATTTCTCCGTGACGTTTTACAAGTACATCTGCGAAAAAGTTCAGACAGTAGCCATATGGTAAAGGTTACCCAATTACCCCTCTCCCACGGGAGGAAGTACTCGAATCCCATCAGCATTGCCTGATTTCCCCATTGTATGTGGTATTGGAGCCCTTTGATTGGACGCTTTCCCCTTCCTGAAAATGTTGTATCATTCTACATTCAATAAAGGGAATTATAATAAAAAGAGCAAAAAAGAGATATTGTTTTCTGTACAAATCTATCATTTGAACAAATGTTGATGATATAATCATTAAGAGTCAGACATTTGGGTCATTTTAACTCTTGAGAATAATTGCACTTAAATCTTAAAGGTAGAACCAGCATAATGGTTCGCATGTTTAGACCTATTCTGTATTCGGTGCATCATCCGAGGTAACATGGGTCCTGAGCTACAAACGGAATTCCCGTTTTGTTGACATAATCAAACTATCCACCCCTTTACCAGCTTACTCGCAAAGGGGTTAAAATCGATTAGTGAACAGTTAGTCTATCGTCTGATAAGAGGAACGGTACAGTGGTGTGATTGTTCACCAACGGGACGGGGTGAAAGGAAAATGTGAGTAGTTCCAACTTCAAGCCAGATATCGTCCGACTGGAACAGTGATACAACTGAACTACCTGAACACAACAACGGATCTGTTTTGATGAGGCTTCCGTGTGAGGGTTCTCAGTGTCTGCAGTGATCGAGGAGTAAGGTAAATCACAATAGTTCGTATAAACACTCCCAGAGTACATGTTATTTTGTATATTGCATGTGTTGGTTTTGCAATTTCAGTCTTATTTGAAGTCGATTGTATTCGCAAAAATTATTTGAGAATATTTACCCAGACATCAGCTGAATCTTTCACATACGCGTAAACACGGGAAAAGTAAATTCGGTGACTAAAAAAAAACGAACTACGAGGCACGACACCAACGGGGTTATCCTCTTGCTTGTTTGTTTATAAAAAGTTACCCAGGTACGGGATTGGATAATTTTATGACCAACGTTCCTACGGGACAGAATACTCCAAAAACTCGAATTACGTGGATGAAAGAGAAGGAGGAAAACATCATATTTACACCTTTTCTTGGATTTATTCGTCATCAAACCATGTCGTTATCAATTTCAAGGATAACAAATACTATACTACACGAGCAAGTTCAGGAAATCGTTTTGTGGTGTCGCGCGAATCGCACCTTTTGTAAAATATTCTAACAATGTGAGAAAAAAATTGGTCCTCCATCGTCGTTTGCTCCGATGTTTCATGACAGATCACTTGTTGATAATCCGGCTATGGGAGCTTGAGTGCTCGCACAAATTGTTACAACCAGTCTCATTGACGCCTTGAGTGGCTTAAATATCAAAGGTCGCCACATGTTTTCGCCAGATGTCACATCTTTGTTCACGAATGTTCCGATCGGCGAAAAAAATGATTATTTGTGTACCTATATCGAAAGTAACGGGAATACCGTAGGCTTATCGACAGATGACCTTAAAGAATTGTTATTCTTCTGTACTCACAATGTGCAATTCAAGTTCAATGAGGAAATCTATCGTCAGAAGAATGGGGTAGCAATGGAGTCCTCCCCCTCCCCCTAAGGCCCATTGTTGGCGATATTTTCATGTCTAAAATAAAAACGTTCCATTTAAATCACATATCGAACAGTGTGTACTGTAAAAGCGGCACGTAGACAATATTTTGTGCGTGGTCGATTCTACAACGGATTGACAACACATACTATAGATCATTTCACTCTTGCGCATCGGAATTTGAAATTCACGATTGAAAATGAAGCAAACAATCAACTAGCATATTTAGATGTTTGCCTAGCTCGTTGTGATGAAGGGTCCTGTGGAGCAAAAAATACTTGATCGCACAACCCGGCGCCTGTCCGAGTGCATCCGTGAGCATCACCCTGCGTGGTTGCAAAGTGAAGTAATTAGGACAATCATAAGTGCGGTCGGGTCACACCTTGTCGACCCTAATCACATTCATACGAGTAATGGAGGATATGATTAAATTTCAAAGTGGAAATTCGTCGTGTATATGGCAAATGTGGCGTGAACTGAAAAGCTAGGAAGCACTGGACAGCTGTTTCGACCTGGTTGGGTCTCATCAGCAGTGTGAATCCATCGAACCAACTGGGGATCGAACCTGGAACCTTATTTGCAGAACGCAAGCACGCTACCCACTCGGTCACCAGACAGTTGATCAGGCCGTTTTTCATTTTAGATTTACATGATGTAGCACAAACCATCTTGGCGAGCTTGTTGCAGGCCACAGATCTTGCTCATCTCAGCACTAGCCTCCGGGGTTGTGACTCGGTTGAAAACAATCACACTGTAAAATTGACCGAAGCGTTCGGACCCCTGTTTAGTGTCAAAAAGAGACGGTTTGGACACGTGCGGTTTCGCGCTATTGCCACAGCGGAGGCAGTTACCATCCGTCTTCATAACCCCTTTCTGTAGACTCAGAAACAATTCGTGCAAGCACTCAAGCTCCCATGGCCGGATTGTCGACAGGTGACCTGTCATGAAACATCGGAGCAAATGATAATTGGGGACCAATTATGTCACAAAATGTGAGAAATAGGTTCAAACGGATTATCAAGACACAAGACGGCATAGGGAGAAAACATCGCGCACGTTGGCAAGTCGGTCTCATTTTGACAGGTAACATTCGTTCTCTGTTGGGAAAAGTCGATGCGGTAGCAGATATCACACGGAAAAAGTAGTACAAAACCTAGGGATTATTATTCTACACACGAATCGTGGCTGCACGAAGAAATCTCTAGTGAAATTGTACAACTAAATGGACATAGATTCTATCCGGTTGACCGTCCCACGAGTGTCCGTAAACGAGGCTGAGGTGTTACAAGTTAAGTTAGCGACAACTGGAGTAAATCAACCGCCGTCATCTACGAATACTCAACAAATAAGATCAGTTGCCACGTCATCAAATGTAAGCCCTGTTTTCTGAGTGGGTTTCGTTCCATACTTCTGGGAAAATTTTACCTGTCACCCACAAAATCAGCGGTTGGCATAAATAAATTTTCTGACATTTTTTTCTACTCCCATCATATCAAGAACAAATGATTCTTCGTGTGTATTTGTTCATGATTTTAACAGACAACGTAACTTTCCTCTTCACACTGGGTTTGCAAAATTTGGTAAATGTTCCTACCTGACTCAATTCGCAGCTACATTCGTTTTCACAAATAGATGGCAAGTTTTCAAAGTCCAGAAACGTGCTCCTCTGAGCATTTCAGATCATTGTATCTTGAAAATGTGTCCAACTGAATGTGACAGAACTAACCGGTACATGTTTTATGAAGACCATCCACGATAATGAATGAGTCAAAGATATTGTTCATTGGAGAACTTAGAAAAGCTAAGATCCCTGATTGCCGCCACAGATTTTTTGGTGTTTACAGACCAAAACCCTTTGTCCTCTGTGAACATGTTACGGACTACCTTAAGTTTCGCTTTAACCAGTGTTGTCCTCTTGAAACGGTATTCATCCATAAGGACAAATATTCATCACCGTTACTAAAACAGCTACGCAGGCGGAAAGAACAGACCTATAAGCATGGATACAGAACTCACATCAAGCGGCTTACAATTTCGGTCAAGGCTGAAATAAATCGGTTGAACAAACTGTACATCGACACTATCCTGGGAAAGTTCAGTTTTTGTAGCATGTGGAGAGCTATCAACAGCCTGTGTGGCAGTACGTATAAACACAAAAGGAAAACTGTCGACGTTGAAAGACTAAATTCCGAGTTTAGTCCAGTTTCACAATGCACTGCCCTGCTAGACTTAGTCAGCTGTACGCTGACACCAACTATCGAACTCGCCACAGTCTTCCAGTACCTACTGAAAATAAAGAAGAATGAAGCACCTGGTCCGGATGAACTATCACCCCTGAAACTCAAGGTATGTGCAGACACTCTTTCAGCTCCATTGTCTAAAATATTCAATATCTATCTGATGAGCGAAAAAATCCCTGATATTTGGAGATTGGCCAAGATAATTCCCGTTCCAAAAAAGGAATCTGGGAAATATCATCCCATTGCCTGCACGTCAGTCATGCTCGAATTATTTGATAGATGCTTGTTACCGTGGGTTGTCACTGAGTCTGCCGAAAACGACATATAGCGATTTTCATATCCTTCTTCGAGCTCAGCACTTGATGTCGTTGCATACCTTGTTCATTCAATAATTTCGGCACTAGATAAGAAAAGTAAGACCAGAATGTCAGAATGTTGTTCTTAGACTACAAAACCGTATTCGGCAGTCTTGATTGTCGAAAGCGGTGTTAATCCTAACATTGGCAGATTGATCCGCGATTATTTTACAAATGGAAGGCAATTTACCTGTCTCAACGACGAAAAAATCCCCCACTCGATGGGGTGCTTCTGGTGTTGTGTAAGGTACAATATTTTCCCCATATTTCTTTTCTACGTATGTCAAACAATTTCCCATTTCTCCTGAATTCATTGGCTGCAAATACGCAGATAACGTTATTTTAGGTTGCAAAGCATCCACCTTTGAGGATGCATCAGAAATTCAAAGCAAGCTAAACGAGGTTGTTACTTGGTCCTTGTCCCGTTTCCTCTCATTGAATGCCCCTAAATGTCAGGATGTTGTGTTTTCTCTCTTGGCCGATGTACCATATTCAGCCTTCACACCTAGATTCCCCACCCTCTCTGCAAATCAACAATCCGTACCGAAATCAACAATGGTGAAATATCACACTATCACACAATTTTTCATGGTCATTGCATGTTCAAAACTCATTAATAAGTTAGAAAGCTTTCATATTTGTCACTCCGATTGAGAATACTTTCTGTTCTCCACAAGCTGATTGTTAGATTTGTGAATGCATGCGTGCTACCCCACTGGTCGTATTGCTCTCCAGGGATTTTTCCCGGTGTGTTGAACAACGACTTTTATGTAGTCAAGTCAAACAACGCTCTGTGCATCCGACAGGATGAATTTTCAGCACTTTCAACAAGTTACGGTGAGGAAAACGTTAAGCATTGGAAAAAAGAAGAAATATACATTTACNTGAAATCCTAATGTGACAGATGATTGTTCAAGTCAGTAATAATATTTGCTCGGCTGATCAAGATACTAGAAAAATAAGGGATCATGCTGTTTTTGTGTGTGGTGGTGCGTGCACAAAGAATCCGAACTTGGTACTGGTGAGATCTCTAAAAACATTTATAAAGGTAGTGGCATCACCATGGCTAAACTCGCAGATTCTATCATA